CCCAGAGGCTCCTTACACTATCTCGTATTTTGGATTCTTTTTCATTTTGCTTTTCCGGTTGGGTGTTTTTTGCTTCTTTGTATTTCAAATCTTTGACTTGATTCTTGCGATCCTCTGGTCTGCTGTTGGGAGTCTGTATAATATTCTTTATTTCAGTCAGTGTATGCTTAATTTCTAGTTGGTCCTTTATCACAACATCGAGGGTCTCACTAGATTTCTTGAGGATCTCACTACATTTATTGGCGGTTTCCATAAAATTCTTGAAAAATCTTAGAAACGTGGTTTTGAACTCTATATCCAGTCGTTTGCTGTCCTCCATTTCTGTCATTTGTGACCTGTTTCTTTGTCTCCGCATTTTGTCTGCTATCCTGTGTTGGTAGAGTGGTTTTGTGTGCTAGGTGTCCTACAGGGCCCAGTGGCTCAGCCTCCCCAGTTACCTGAGGTGGACACTCTTGGTGCACCCCCTTGTGGGCTTTGTGCACAGTCTTGTTGTAGTTATGCCTTGATTGTTTTAGGTATCACTGGGAGGAATTGACCTCCAGGCCAATTGGCAGTGAGAATCAGCTGTGTCTGCAGTGGGAGAACTTCTGTGCTGAAGACACCCTTCTGGGGCAAGACTTGCTTCACTGGGGCTTTGGTGCTCACTGAGTCTGCCCCCTGAGTGTGTTCCTTATGAATCTGAGGAGTTGTAATCTGGATGGTCCCACTCTGACCACTGGGTACACTGGCTCTTGGATCTAAGGAGGTGCTAATTAAGCCTCTTCCTGAGGTTACCCAGCAGGAGCTACGAAGAGATATGCAGATTCCCCTTCCTTTTTTGGGGGTTTGGGGGTGCCCAGATGAGGCCCAGCTGTGAAGTAATGCAAGCTGCTGTGGGGCCTTGGGCCTTCTCTTGGAAGTTCTGGGTCTGTCTGGCCCAGCTGCAATTTGTTAGGTAATTTTCAGGTTGCAAAGGACCCGGGCATTCATATGCAAAAGCCTTTGCAGCAGCCTGGATGGGGCGGGGTCTCGGAATCAACAGGGCGGAGCAAGCAGCTATGGCTGATTCTCAGCCCTGCCCTAAGGGGCCACGCGTCTCAGTGTCCCGGTAATTGCTGCCAGCACCTCTGAGGGAAAGCCATCCTCAAGTTCTGAGTTCTGCCTGCTGCCAGACCGTCCAGTTTCTCCCCGTATGAGCCCTGGGACCCCAGAGATTTCCCGGAACCGGAGTTCAGAGCAGTCGGGAGCTTGTGACTCCCTCCCGATTCAAAAAGACAGCCGAGTCCTCAGGTGCCAACCCCTTTCCCCGAGCGCCGGAGCCTTGGTACCTCTGCACTTTACTTTCGTAGCTCCTCTGAGTCTGTGTGCTCTTCTCTTTCCTTCTAGTTGTAGAATTTCCACTCAGCCAGCCTTCCTGTGGTTCTGGATGATGACCGTTCTGTCTTTTAGTTGTATTTTTGAAGTTGTTGTCGGGGGCAGCAATTTCTGGTGTTTACCTATGCCGCCATCTTGGTTTCTCCAGGATTATTATTTCTTAAACATAATTTCTTAAAATTAGACTTTTGACCCAGGAAAATATTTGGGTTTTTTGATATTCTATGTTGCCAATTAAGTGTAGATCCATATACTTTGAGAAGGAGCTAGCCAGAAGGTAGTCTTAAGATTTTCTAAGGCAATTAAGAGGCCTAACCAAGATTCACACCTGAACACAGGGTATGACCTCTGTACTTAGATGACACTCTGTAGATGACGTGCATTCTGAAATTAGGTGACACAAAGTGGATGGCCTGCACCTGCTGACTGCTTTTAAGAGGGAGTCCTCTGTTACAGTGCTAAGCATATTTCAGCTTCATATGAGAATCATTTCTCTATGTGTTTAATCCCCCTTTATATTTTGGCGGGTGGGCACTGTGTGTTATTCTTTATTGCCTACACTGAGTGATTTGTGTTTGTAGTGAACTGTAAGGCCTTTTATGCCTGGTATTCATACTCACTAGATTTTCGTAATTTTTTTTTATTCTTAATGTTGACAAGAAAAAATTTTTCTCCTGTACCTTTTATTTAATGTAATCCTGATCTCCTTATCAAAATCCTGTATATCCAATAACAATGCTTGAATTTACTGAAAGTAAAACATTGTAATGCTGGTCTCAGGAGCAGGAGTATTTCACTCACTCACTCATTCATTCATTATTCAAATATCATTAAGTTAGTGCTCGGTTGATGATAGTCACTACACCCCTCCATAGTAACCTGTACTTGTCAGGAATAAGTACAGTGTAGTTTCCACTGATTCCTTGAGCATTCCTGTTTACTTACCTGTCCCCTATTTGGGGGAGGGGGGGACAGAGAAAATATATTGTTAGTTGTTATATTTCCAAGTACCTGGCACATTATATAGAACTCACAAAAGATGGTTTGAATGAATGAGTGAATGAATGAATATACAAACCATGCTATGGTCAAGGGATGCAAAGATGAATAAGCCACTGTCTTATGCTGCCTTTGTTGAATTCTCTTCCCAAAAATATTTCAAAGAACAAGTGTATGACATTCGACAGGCCAGTGTTAGACTGTGCTTGTTTGAAGAAACTGGAGTTGGGGAGACTTGTGGGAGGAAATTGGGGGCATGAGGAAATGGAATGGCAGGCTGTGCAGAGCAACCCCAGGAAGGTCCAGGCTGGAGCACGTGGAGGAAGCTTTAGGATAGAAGAGAGAGCTGGGACCGGACTCAGATTATTATCATTGGAAAAAGTGCACATTTTAAAGTGCATCATTAGCATAAAAAAGAAGCAATCATAAAATATATATCCCAGAACTATCATGTTACAGTAATAGTGTAAAGTGTTCTCTGACCTGGTCTAAACCTAGTATAGACTTTTTTTTTTTTTTAATGATTGGCTCACTGTTCTTTTTCTGGGATAGTTAACTTTAGGGCCTTTACTAAAGAGGAACAGAGAGATTGTTGGCCGCTTTTGTTTCTTTTATCATGTGGTTTTCAGCAATGAGAAATAATTGTTGTGTGTTTTATTTTTAATTGCCAGAGAGCCCAAAGAAGGAGGTATGCCCATGGATATTTCCATAACTCCATCCTCGCTCCAGGTGAAAACCCCTGGAGGCTGCACAGAGATCTGCCTTCCAGCAGAGGTCAGGCTTGTGCCTTCCTCTGGCCATGGGCTGCAGTACGTGGCTGGAGATGGACTACACCTGCGGCTGCAGGCGCGGGCGGAATTCAGTACAAGTAAGCAATGCCAGCACTCCTGTTTCTGCATTAACTTTTTCCCTACAAATCAAAGGTGATTTTTCCCTTAAGAAGTTGAATTTTCCCAGATGTAAATAGCTGCTCATCAGTGGCATGGAAGGAGCTGGGAGTGGAAAAGATCTAGGGCAGTGGTTCTCAACCTTCCTAATGCCGAGACCCTTTAATACAGTTCCTCATGTCGCGGTGACCCCCAACTGTAAAATTATTTTTGTTGCTACTTCCTAACTGTAATTTTGCTACTGTTATGAATCGTCATGTAAATATCTGATATGCAAGATGTATTTTCATTGTTACAAATTGAACATAATTAAAGCATAGTTATTAATCACAAAAACAGTATGTAATTATATATGTGTTTTCCGATGGTCTTAGGCGACCCCTGTGAAAGGGTCATTCAACCCCCAAAGGGGTCTCAACCCACAGGTTGAGAACCGCTGCTCTAGGGTCTTAGCCAGCTCTGCCATTTATCAGCTATGCGCAGTTAAACGTGTCACATAATCTTTCTGAGGTTTTGTTTCTTTTGGATTTTTTTTTAGTGGTTTTTGTTTCTTCCTAATACACTTACTTTTTAGAGCCACAACAAAATTGAGCAGAAGTTCGCAAAGATTTTCCATATACCTCTGCTTTGTCTCTTTAATTGTAAAATTACCTGGCTCACAGAGCTGATATGAAGGTGAAGTAAGATGGTTTGTGCAAGATGTAGTTTATTTTAAAGCATTACATAGAAATTCATTAATTCAGTAACCATTACCTTATATTATGAGCTAGAAATTTCTCTAGATTATAGCGATACAGATGTGAACAAACTAGGAGGGTCTCTGGCTTCAGGGAGCTTACATTGTAATGCGTGGGAATAGATAATGACCAAATTAATTACTTGGATACAGAGAAAAGCGCCATGGGCAAAGTAAAGCCAAACAATGGGATAGGGAGTGACTGGGGTTGGGTGGAGAGTGATGGAGAAGGCCACTCGGAAGAGGCGATATTTGATCAGAGAACTGAATGATGGAAATGATCCCATCCATGTAGAGACATTTCCAAATAGAATAGTACATACAAAGATTCTGAAAGTGAGTATGATACATAATTTAATTTTGAATGTTGCTATGCCTATCTTATTTCCAATATTTGTTACTGGTACATTGGTTCAGTAAGATAGTAAAAGTGTTTCTCAATAATTTATTGAATAAAATTATTGGTTTATTACATTTCTTACCATGTAAGTAATATACTTTTTTAAAAATATATTTTATTGAGTTTTGACAGAGAGGAAGGGAGAGGGATAGAGAGTTAGAAACATCGATGAGAGAGAAACATCAATCAGCTGTCTCCTGCACACCCCCCACTGGGGACGTGCCCGCAACCAAGGCACATGCCCTTGACCGGAATTGAACCTGGGACCCTTCAGTCCGCAGGCCGATGCTCTATCCACTGAGCCAAACCAGGCAGGGCAGTAATATACTTTTGAGGATTAAAATAATGTTAAAATGGAGAACTTTATAGAAGTAAGGTGCAGAGGACTGATAAATGCTCATTATCAGAGAAGGATTTTATTTCTCCCAGCTATACCCTTAGACTTCACTGCTGCCTCATTTTTACTAAGCCTTTCATCTGAACTGCATGGAGCCAGAGGTGGGGTCCGGCAGATTGTTTTGAAGAGCCATTTAAGAGATGGGAGCCTTTTTCAGTTCCCCTGAGTCTTTTTGCTGGCTTTTGAAAGGGAAGAGAAGATAGAGAGCGAGTTTCGCTCCTTATTTGCTGGAGAGTAATTTTGCTCCTGTCCTGGGTTGATGAATAACTAGTCTGAGTTGGGTAGACTTGGTTTTAGGGATAAGAGATAGGGAAAAGAAATGCCATGGAGCTTAAATGGTGTAAGATAAACACTAAGAATGACTGTTGGACTATTCATGGAAAGAAGAGTGGGTGACTAGACGGGAAGCACAGTAACACTCCCAAGTGTACCTAATGTAGGTGGAGGAAGTGGTGTGTCAGGGAAGAAGCGTGGGAGGCTGGCCCTTGTCCGGCCATCACCTTCTCTGTAGCAGTGATGAACAATAACAGCAGTCACAGTCTGGGAACTTTGGGAAACGGCATAGTGGGGTGTTTCAGATCTACTGTTAGTTTCTGGAAACATGATTTTAGGGCCCATACTTAGGGGGTATGGAGACCTTTCAGAATCAAGAATTGGTTTATCACCTACCCATATTTTGTAACAGTTAATATGCAAATAGCAAAACTTGAACTATTTTTAAAAATTTAAGTCAGTAAGCATTATTGTTTAGTTTTGACTGGAGGACAAAATAAATTGACTGCTATGTGTTGTTTTGCATATTATTTGCGTTCATTGGTCTCCTGTTTCTTTCTAGTTCTGAAACATATTTTATTCAAATATCTGAAAAAGGAAAGCTTTCAAAAGCTTGTTCTGTAGTGCATGAAAAGGTATGCGAAATAGTCCTCAGTACTTAATTGCTTTAGAGCTTTGCTCATAATAGGTACTGAATAAATAAATACTAGATAGATGCATACTGATGTAAGCTTGAATCAGTCGGAATATATTGTAGAAAGAGAGTTTTGAAGTTTTTAGCATTCAGTTGTGATGCAGGGTTTTTAAAAAGTTAACTTTTCTATTGTAAGAACTTTCTTCTAGGGATTATAGTATACGTATTGTTATACTGTTTTGAATGTAACTTAGGTCAGATCATAACCTTGACGTGGAACACAAATCTGATATAGCACAAGCATGAGGTTTATCCCCAGGTGGTAGTGCCTCTCCCAGGATGCCCTGTATCTGAAAGTTCTGACTTGAACCTGAGCTAGAGGATCATGCTGGGTGACCAGCAGAGGGGAGTATTTCACTGAAAATTTGTTTACTGGTTCTGAAAAGAATATTTTGGATGTCTTACCTAGGTCTACTTAATCTTACCATACATACAAAATAACATAAACCAAATTTAAATTGCCTGATTCTAATGGACAGGACCTCATTTCTTTATATTTTTAAATATGACACATATTTTTGTGGGGTTTTTTTCGGGGGGGGGAATGAAAAAAAATTTTTCTTCATGAATAAATAAAGGAAACAGAGAATATACTGCTTTATGCTGCATTTCACATAATGTGGGAAATAATGTTTTTCCACAGCTTTAATCAGAAATTGAGTTTTGCTCTTAAGAGATTGAATTTTTCTTAGGAGTCAGTCCATACTCAGGAACCTGTCCAATAGACCAGTTTCAAGATTCATTTTGTTAGTACATACTGGTAATATGCCAGAGTGCACATAAATCTTATTTAAATCAAATTAAACTTAAATTTAAAAGCTTTATTCACCAGCAGTCACAATGATGAAAAACTATACCTCAGACGTAGCAGAAGAAAGCCGAGAATGGTGAAGCTCTGTGTAGTTAGCCTGATAGGAAAGAAAGAGCCCCTTTTCCTTCATCTTTAATGTTGGTGTTTATGGAATGAGAGAGATAACAGTGTGGGACGTGAACAATCTGGGCAACACCTAGCTCCGGAACAAGCAAAATCTGTTGTTTTTGAAAACACTTCACAATATTTACTTCTGGTTGAGTCATCAGATGATACTAATTAAATGTGTACTTCTGGGTACATCATAAACAGTGTTTATTGATGGTAATTTATTGTGGCTGTTACACTCTTATAAATATGTTAACATATTTGTCCCAAACCTCTAAGATTTCTGTGTCATTGATTTCCTTTAGAGCTGACTTCAATGTTTAATCAAAGCTCAGAAGCCCAAGACTGCTGCACATTTTATTGCCAGTCCTGCGGTGAAGTCATAATCAGGGACAGGTAAGGAATGCGTCTAACATTGATTAATTCTGTGCCTGGCGATGCTTTTCTCTTTCCTATCAGAGTTTTTGAAGTCATCGCCAAGGGAACAGTGTATGGCCTTAAAACGAGAGCCAGCTTAATGCCACTTTGAACAACATCGGCCATAAAACTCTCCAGCAATCACAGAGCAGTTAAGTCTTCTCAGGCCGACCAGGGGGAACAATAGGATGCTGGCTTTGAGGGGGGAAGGGAGGGTTGGTTATCTTGGTGGAAGAGTGTTGATCACTGAAGCATCTCTTACAAAAAGAGACTTGGGACCTATTGCATGTTTTATCCATCATGTTGGTGAATGGGATTTTCCACATTAAGTGACTTTTCTAAAAAGGAAGGTTTTGCAGCACAACTTTTTATTTGAACTATTTCTATTGGCGCCTGTCTGAAATCCAGTTCCTATTTCCCTGCTTGTTAAAACAGCACATAGAGAACACAAATTAACCTTTTCTTGATGATCAGGCTAACCTTATAACCTGTTCTTGCGGTGTGCTGTGATTGCCCCACTGAGATGGAAAGGGCTCTTTGCGGTACCTTTGCATTCCCAAGTTGTCTCGTTGAATCATTTTCCCATCTGCTCCCTTCCTCCTGTCAGCCTCCTTGTTTCCTGGGCACAAACCCTTCCCCCTGAATTTTCAGCTTCTGATCACTCATACACGGGAAAGACAAATGAAAACCTTACACTGGTTAACAATATTTTTAAAAAGAATTTAGAGTTCTTTGGTGCATTTCCTCCAAGACAAGTGCCTGAGACTTACATGCAAATGGATCCTTCTCCGTATCTGAAACCTGCTCCTCTTCCAGGGCTCCTTGTCTGAGGGCATGCAGACCTCTACTGCATCTTCAAGGTAGATTCCTGGTGGTGTCCCTGGGTTCTTCCTTGCCGCCCATATATAGTCACTCACCAACTACTTTTGCTACTTCCTTCCCCGCATTTCTTGCAAGTCCACATTCCTCCACCCCAGTGCTACTACCTCCCTCCAGGCTACTGTCTTCTCATCTAGTAGCACTTGTTGCCAGCTCCCTATCTGCTCAGCCTTCCTCCAGGTTCACCCTCTTCTGAACATTTCTACACTATTGAGTGATTGTTCCCAAATGCAGCTGGCTCCCCTGTTCAAGCCCTTCCACATCTTTCAAGATAAAGTCCGTAAGATGTTAGCATGCCATGCCAGGTCCTTTATGAGTTTGTTTCTATTTACCTTCCCACCCTCAACTTCCTTTCTTTGTCCCCAAAACAGCACACCGTTATGTACACACATTCTGTGCACAGCTCTAGTGATCAGCCTGCGTCCCCCGACTCTCCATGCTTTTCTCCACCCTAGCTGGCTTAGTGAGAGCTACTGTCTCCCATGGAATGTACCCCATACCCTATTTCCCTCAGGTTCGCTCCTAAATTCAGCTCCTAAATTAAATGTCATCTACTGCTGGGAGCCATCCCTGCTCACCACCCATAGTCTAATCTCCCTCTAAGATTTATTTGCCTGTCTTCCTGATTAAACTGTAGGCTCTGGGGGTGAGGATAGTCTTATTGACCCCTATATCCCTAATCCCTACTCATATTTAGAGTGCAGTGTACTCTAGTGGCTAGTAGTACAGACCCAGAAACCAGCCAGTCTGGGCTCACATACACCATTTCCTGGATGTGACCCTGGCCTAGTTACTTAACCGCTCCATGCCTTAATATCCTTACTACAAACACATAGATAATAATAGGAGCTACCTCGTAGGGTTGTCTGGAGGATCCAATGAATTTAAGTGTGTATAACCAAGTTTGGGACATGTTAAGCATTCAGTATGTGGTAGCTGCTGCTGTAACTATTCTTACCATCATCATCACCAAGATCTCCAGCATCAGGCATCATGCCTGGGTGAATAATGCACCTTCAATAAATTCTTGCTGGGTTGAATTAAATAAACGTTAGGGTGTTTATTTTGGCCTCTCTTGCTTGCTTTATGATTCCTGGCAGTGCCCCAGGTCGATGAGATAGCAGAAAGTTACCTTGGTGGAAATGGGAGGTTGTGAAGGGAGCATCCTCTGAATGATTATCTTGGGTGAGAAATGAGGTGATTCTCAATCTGTAGAGGAGAGAATGTTCTTGATCGAATTAACAGAGGCTGAAGTTGCTGCAGAGTGTGCGCTCTGGGATAGGCCCACCTTAGCCTGAGAGGGTCAGAGGATCCCAGTTTACATTGTAGTTTAACCAAGAACGTTTTCCTTGTCTCTGTCTACTTCAGGCTTTGGTTTAATTCTCATGTGAAGTTTCCTAAACATGCATGCCTGCTCAGCAATGAGCTGACCTAGTAGTTACAGCAGGAACAAGTGAAACTCAGTGTAACAGTATTTCCTGGTGCTGCTTACAGTGGAGGTTATGCTCATTCATTACTGGCTGATATTTCATTGGAAAAGGGTGATGGATATGAGAAACCTTTATCTGTAGTCCCCATTTTCCTATTCAGGAACTGCACCTTCTGTTTTGTGTCGATCCTTTTTTACAATCATGGGATTGGGAACTAGAGGCTAACACTGAAAGACTGTATTTACTCTCCCTAATCCTGACCACTAGGAGGCCCTGTAGTGTGGACGTGAGAGTGGGAGAGTGGGACCAGGATTTGAACTCCAGCTTCACCACTTAGTAGCTGGGGAACCTGTCCATATCACCTCAGCTTCTTTTTTTAACTAACATTATAAGTTTCAAGTGTACAATTCTATAATACATCACCTGTACATTGCATTGTACGCTCACCACTCATAGTCTAATCTTCCTCTGTCACCTTGTATTTGACCCCTTTTACTTTCTTTATCCTCTAGTCCCCTTCATACCGCTGTCTGTGTCTATGAGTTTGTTCGTTTGTTGTTTTCTGTTTTATATCCACATATGAGTGGTTTATATGTGGTTCTTGTCCTTTTCTGTCCGACTCTTTAACATGATACTCTCAAGATCTACCCATGTTGTTGCAAATGGCAGTATTTTATCCTTTCTTATGTCTGAGTAGTGTTGCATTGTACGAGTGTACCACATCTCCTTTATGAAACCATCTATCGAAGCACACTTAGGCTGCTTCCATGTCTTGGCTATCACAACTAATGCTGTAATGAACATAGGGGTACATATATCTTTATGAATATATGTTTTTAAAATTTGGGGGTAGATTCCCTGAAGACAGCTTTTTCTTAAGTAGACAAAATGAGGCCTATTTTCCAAATTTGTGAAGAGAGTTAAAGGCTGTAACACATGGATTATTAATGCTCAACAAGCTCTTTTTTATTGGTTCTATAGACTCCTTCCACTCCCTTTTCCAGAATTGGTCTTATCAGCAAACTAGTAAATTACCTTGTTTAGTTTTTTAAACCTTTTTGGTTTACTACACTGCATTTTATAGGTGTGCCAGGGAAATGATCCACCTTTCTCCCTTTTTATTTGACTTAGCCCTTGCCTCACATTAGCTTACATTTTACTCTTAGGCAGTATGCCCTATGACTTTGTTTTATAGAAAAACGTGATTCCTCCAGTATCTGTACAAGGATTTCATGTTGACTGTGTACATTAAGCTCAGTGGTCTTCTCATCCCCCCCCCCCCCCCCCACACACACACCCAGTTATCTGTTCTACATAGTGATAAGGGCATCTTCTGTTCTTGTTATGTAGAAAATAAAACCAAAGGTATTTCAAAAGAGGCTTGAATGTGCTATAATCAAAATTAACTAATTGTAGACATCTTTACCAGGAAAGCACCTCGGAATATGTTGATTTATCTGCACTGGGAGCCCCTCTAATAGGAGCAATGGAGCAGACCTAAGATCTGCTTACTGGCTAACCTTATCATCTGGGAACCAGTCAGTTTAATTCTCTGGGCCTCAGTTTCCTCATCTGTGATTAGTGAACCTCATAAGGTTGTACCTGGGTTCTGTGATTCATGTAATTTGGATACTGCAAGACTAATGCTGTTCCTTTTTTTTTCTTGTCAAGCAAATTATAGAAGTAAGGTGCAGAGGACTGTTTAACCTATTAAGACTCATTATGGCTTTAATACTTTTTAGTACCAGGGCACTGGAAATCTGCTAAGTGTAGTAGTAGTCTTTTTTCTTAACCTAGGAGTACATGCTCTTAGCCATTTGTTTTGGTATTTGAAAATAAATACTGCCTTCCTTCTTTACAAGAAAATGTCCAATTTGCATTTTTACTAGTTCAGCAGAGTTTTACTATAAAAATTGTCTGAACATATACAGTTTTTTATTATGTTCTTGTTGAGACTCACAGGCCTTAATATAAAGCAGCAATAATAACAAAATTTACTTCTTTGTGAATAGTCTCAGAAACAGCTAAATGGTCATTGCATTTGGAATTTATGTCCTTGAGAAATAAATTCATGGCAGACTTGAATTACATCAGTTGGCCAGACTTTCAAACATATGCCGTTTGATTTTCAGCCCATTTGAGAGGTCTCCTGAGGTCTCTGGAGAGGCCCTCCCCATTCCACCTGCACCAGCAGAGCTAGGTGTCAGCCCAGCAGCTCATGAGGGCATTGAAACTCTAGAAGGAAACATGCAAAATGGACTTTATTGAAACACTAGAGGCCCGATGCACAAAATTTGTGCAAGAGTAGGCCTTCCTTCCCCCAGCTGCTGGCACCGGCTTCCCTCTGGCACCTGGGACCTGGGCTTCCCTCCAGCCTCCGGCAGGCACCTGGGACCCAGGCTTCTCTCGCATCCCTGGCTTCAGAAGGTTGTCCAGAAAGACGTCCAGTCTAATTAGCATATTATTATTATAGATTAAGAGATGTCACAATATCCAAACAATTGATTGGTCTACTTGACAGACCAGCTGTAATTGTAGCCTAAAAAAATCTATTCCCATGAATACCATCACTTTTTTATGAATGAGAACAAAGAAGTGAAAAAGACTACAGGTACAAACTGGCTTATTAGTAATACTGTACAAACTTTTGGAATAAAATGGTTATACTTT